AGCCCCCGGCGAGCCCGAGGAGCGTTAGATCGGCATCGACGTCATCGTTCGCGTATTAGTTTATTTGTTAGGGAGAGGCAGCGCGGCGCGGACGCACTAGTCAACGCCCCGGCGCCGCCCGCGCCCCTACACGATATATTGTTCATGTTTATGTTCCTCAAGTTCCCCGAGACGACTTCTTATTATAAGTGAATTTTAATAAAACCTTTGTTTCTGTCATACTTCTTTTGTTTTATTATGAAAATCTTCTCTATAATATGTATATTTAAGATAGATGAGCTTGACATCTGACGCATATAAAATATCCATATCATTTTGTATGTGGATTAATGTCATACAAAATGGACGGTTATCATAGTGTCGCGACGTCGCGTCATCGAGAATCCGTCTTGTAATAAAATTAATCGAACAAATTGGTATAATTTAGGTATGTTATAACTTTTTGAATTATTTACAGTTTTTTGGCTTTGTATCATAATTAATTTAAAAAAAAATCTTTTTTGTTCGTCAAGACCTCAATTTTAGGTTTAATTTCTTATTTCTTTATGTAGTTATGAAGTATAAAGTAGGCATAGAAAGAACAATTTTATTTATGTTGTATTTCAAAAACAATAATCACGAATTTTCGATTGCTGAGAACAACTATCGAAAATCAAAAAAATCTTAATCGATTTTTCTCAACCCACGTCTAGTGAATTGTCAAACGAATCTAACTAATAAACAGTATAAATAAAGTGATAACATGAGTCGATAGTGTTCAGAGGATAGCATTTATTGTCATCACAACTGTCACAAACAAACCTTTTCAAGATTTTTTTATGTGAAATCTTTTCTTTTTCTAGCCAAAAAGGAATGAAAAAAAATACAGGAATTCATAGAAAATAACACAAACATTTAATTAGGATATTTTTATTATTATTATGGCACTTAGATCGCCAAAAGTTCTTAATTTAAGTTTTCACTGTCGTGTTTGTTTCTTTACTCACATTTGTACACTGAATCAAATAAATCAGAATGCACCATTTGCCCTGAGCATTGTAGCAGGCCGCAGTTCAGCCCAGTAGTGTATGCTTGTCCCCGGTCACACAGAGTTGCATTGAGATGTAGTTGTGAGAGACATGTTCAGTATCTGTACTTGGTAGAGTAGTCTTTGGGCGAGACGACGAGACCGCGGCCTTTGCGCGCGCCGCGATACACCGTCTCGATTATATCGATCATCTCCTGTTTGTCCTCCAAAGGCCAGTTGATCTTGTTGTTGTTGCCAGTGCCCAGGTCGATCATGATGTGTTTGTTGCGGAAGAAAAACATCACTGTGCAGGGATCATATAGTTCATACCTGCAACAATAACATACATTGCAGTGTCAAGTTCTGACTTATAACATACTAGATGTCGCCCGCGGCTCCATCTGCACGCAATTACACAAAAACATAAATAGTAGGCTATATTTTCTTATAGACTATATATATTATATAAGTATGCCAAATTTCATTGTGATCTGTTCAGCTGTTCGAGAGGTAAATTAAAACAAACAAACATCCATCCATCCACCTAAACATTTGAATTTATAATTTCCTATTCATTTATTAATTTTTTATATATTCCATTTCATTTATAAAGTAAAAAATTATAAAAAATATATTATATTAGAAATAGAGCACCACAGATTGCGGAGTCCATCAGGGCTGCAGAGACAGGAACCTTCTCACGATGCTTGTGGTTTCTAGGATAACTGCCTTTTGTATCGGGCCCTTAATTAGTGAGACCCCGAATTTATAACATTAGTAACATTGTTTAACTGTGAACATACATTTTGTTGAAGTCTGGTACTTCAGTTATGTCCACAAGGTATATCACTGCAAAGTTCTTAACTTTTTCTGCAATGCTGTACAATACTTCATCCATCTTCATACATGTGGGGTCCCAGTCATGGCCAAAGCGGATTACCTGCACAAATATATTCAATATATTTTTAAGCCATATAAAATTACTTGTCATGTTTTATTGTATAATAAGGTTACTTTTATTTGATAATTTTTTAATTATCACACTTCATCCTATCCTTGCCAAAGTACTAAGTCCAACACAAAGCCCAAGAACACATCAGATTTGTTTATGGTTCTTTCCAATTATATTAAATAGAAGTGTACATGTATCATTAAGCGAGCTACATTTGTTTGCAACCTACTTACTATGTATATTTCTACTTGTCTTACATAAAATGGAGTCTAATAAAGTTTTTGTTGTGAGCAACAATACCCACCACAACACGGTCTTCTTCAGACAAGATGGCTTGGTCCACTTGCCACCCATTATGCAAATGTCCCAGCATGTAACTCATCTTGAGATTTGTTCGGCTTTCTGATGCACAACCAAATTATGTAGGTTAGTATTGCAATTTCGAGCAAAGTGTTTATGTTCCCGGTTTTGTACCCGGTCGATATTCAAGCACAGACAATAGCGAAGAGGCATATGAAGACCAAGAATTCTGTTAAGTTCTAGAATAGTCACCAGAGAATATTTATTGAAATTAAAAAATATAAGGTGTTTTCTTATAATATCAATGTCATTTGTCAGTGGCTGTCAATCAATGTCAAAATTGAGATAGGGATGTCCGATCAGATAATATATTAGTGAGAATCAGAATCCGATTCATTCGATTTTTGCACCGATACAATAGCAATCGATCTTTTACTAAATAAATGTAGCTGTCGCCCGCGCCCACGACTTTATATACTCTTTGCCCACGACTCCATCCGCGCCGTATTAAAAAAATACCCAGTAAGAAGCCAGACCGAGCCACCTTCATTGAATATTTGCAGCGACGCCAGTGGTTTACATATAGAATTTACAACAAAATTACAATGACAATTTAAGAATACAATGTTGCTCTCAAATTTTTGAAAAATATTGATAAGTATTTGTTTTTTTTCAAAGTTTGTATTTGCCTTTAGGATTATTATTTAGTTTAAAAACAAGCTTAATTTTCAAAAGTAACAAGTTGACGTCGTTTCTGCCGCTGACTAAGAGATGGCGCGGTGGCGAGTTTGTTAAATTAAAACGCGATGTTAATTGTCATGTCTTGCCACTATATAGTGCCCGCAGGTCGCCGATAGTTGTGCCCACTCCGGTAGTAATAACGAAGTAACGGCCCGAGCGGAGGTACCCGAGGGAGCCCTCCAGCTTAGTTACTCTTAAACGAGGTTGAGGCTATGTGCATTCTGCCCGCGAGGACACCTCAAGGCAAACAGTGGCAATTCAGACACATAAAAAAATAGTTATGATGTTTTCATGGTTGTTCTTTCTGACTTTCTCAGTCGTTTGAGTTGTGTGGATAATTGTTCGCTACTTTAGTCGGTGCCCATAATTTCGGACAAAGTTACGTAGGGAGGAGACAAACATTCTATATTGTTTGTTAGTAAATAAAAATGGTCGCATAGGAATGAAAAAATCCAACAGTTTGATATAAATTTGTATTTTAACAAATAAATAATATACAATTACAGGCACTCGCAGACTCACACAAAATACCACATATTATACTCTACGTCAAAAGTAATAAGTACATTTTTTAAATTCCAAATTTTGCTAAATAATTAAAGTATAGTTATGATGAATTACAATGTTATATTTTTATATGTATAGCAGTTTATGATATTGCTTTGCGCTGCATCTCGCGTTTCAACAAAAATCCGAAGAATTCTCATCACCCTGAATGGCAAACTGCTTTTTAAATTACAAAATATTTCTGAAGAAATTCTCACATAGCTCCATAACGTTAGCTTTATTTACTTTAAAATATCACCTCTTTTTATCGCACGAATGACCATTCCGCGTTTCGTCTGAAGAGTTTCCTTGCCAGATGCCAAATTCTAAACCCCTTTCTCTTCCTGTCCTTTCCTTATATGAAGAATCGAAAGGGATTATAGACTAAGAAGACGTGGAAAGGGAAAGGAAAGGGAAATATCCTCTTTTTCGTTTCAACATGCTTAAGAGTCTAGGCAGAGGTCACTCCTGTTGTAGCGGAACCAGTTGACAGATGGCGTATGCCTCTTTTTAATCCTTACAAAAAGAATAAGTTTACAAAGTACAGTGGTTCATCGTTTATTATTCGTTCGCCGAGCGACAGCTTATTTATCCCAACAACTACGTTCGTGTTCCTTCATATATCTGGTCCTAATACAAACAGAGGTGCGCCTTAGCATGTGCTGATAACTGTAATTGGCAATGGAATGAAAGCACATTTTTAAATTTGAGAATTTTACTAAAGTATGTTATATTTTTAAAAAGGTAAAAAAGTTGTCATAAAACGTTTTTGATTTCATAGCTCTGATTTAAAATGGAATTGTACTAATTACTTATTTTTGAGGTCGAGTATCTGCACTCAACACAAAATTGGTTCCTTTGGTGGCATTGTTGCGCACACGACACAGAGAATGCTACATACATGAGACACGAGACGCGGGGCACGGGACACGAGACACGCGACACGCGACACGAGACACGAGACACGCGACACGAGACACGAGACACGCGACACGCGACACGCGACACGAGACACGCGACACGAGACACGCGACACGAGACACTCGACGCGCCCGCGCTGCTTCTCGCTTGGTTACAGCCACATGTTACACAACTTGTAAACCATCAACACATAATTTTAATGATCGCACTACGTCGTAAAAAATCTAATACAATATGAAAAAATGTACGAACTTGACGTGAGCATGACCACTGGTGAGCATTTCTCCTTACATCACAACACCCCCGCACCTCCACACTCTGCACCTCCATACCTCCACACCTCCGCGAATGTGTCAATATTTAATTAAATTACTACATTAATATCACCTATGCGTCGCGCGCGCGTATACCTCTCTTGTGTATATATTAAATATATAAATATATTATATATTAACACGGCTACGTAGAACCCGCCTCCTAAAATTTGTCCTAAATAAATAGCATTATTTCGGTAACAATACATTCTTACAAAAGACGTATCTCTACAAGCTATCGTTGTAATACTGTACAAAATATAAATAATTTATAATTAGGCGCGATGCGACGCGCGCAGACAGCACGCGCACACGACGCGGCGGCGGCGCTGCTAATGGACGGTTCTGCTCGCCACCGGCGCCGGACGCTACACGGCGCAGCGCGGCTCGCCCTCCTCCCCCGCCGCCTCCGTCTCCGCCGCCGACGGGATCGTGTGCAGCAGCCGCGGCGCCGGCAACGCGCCCGGCGAGCCCGGCGGCTCCTCCGCCGACACGGCCGGCTGGCGCGTGAGCCTCGGCCGCGCGCCGCCCGCGCCCCCCGAGCCCGCCGCGACCGACGCGCCCGCCGCCGCGCTGCCCGCCGAGCGCGACGTGCGCCACGTGCCCGTCGAAGCGGTCGCGTTCGATCCCGACGAATCGTTTCGCGACGACGATAGGTTGGAGTCCTGCGAGGTCTTGCGCGCCACCAGCCAGGAGGCCGCGCGGCGCGGGGGTGGCGGCGCGCGTCCGTACGCCCGCCATGAGTCCGAGCGCGACGACGAGAACTCCACCGACGAGGAGACGGAGCCGGTGCGGGCGGGGGGCGCGGCGGTGGGGCGGGGCGCGGGCGGCGCGGGGGGCGTCCGGCGACCGCACGCCCGCAGCCAGCGCAGCAGCCGCTCGCCGGGCGGCGCGCGCACCCCCCGCGCCACGTCCGGCTCGCCGTTCTCTGCGGCGGCGGCGCCGGGCCCCGCGCCGGACACCGCGCCGGGCAGCAGGCGGCGGCAGGCGCACTGCGCGCCGTGCTGGCCGCGCGAGGAGCGCTCGGCCAGGCTGTTGGTGTTGGCCGGGGTCTGGCGGTTGCTGAAGTTGGAGGAGTGTCGGCAGCGGCCGATGCCGCGCGTGACGCGCGACTCCTCGATGGCCTTGCACACGAGCGCGCAGTCCTTCTTAAACTGCTTGGTGAGTATGGCGTAGAGGAATGGGTTGCAGCAGGAGTTGAGCGGCAGCACGAACACGGTGAACACCTTCGCCTCCTCGAGGGAGACGAGCTGCGCGCCGAAGGCGGCCGTCAGCGCGAAGAAGGCGATCGGCGACCAGCAGAGGAAGTCGGTGAAGACGAGCAGCGCCATGCGCTTGGCGATGCGCGAGTCGTTGGAGTTCCAGGCCTGCGAGCCGCGGATGGCGCAGTACATCTTGAGGTAGCAGCCGAGCAGCACGAGGAAGGCGAGCCCGTTGACGGCCAGCAGCGCCACCACGTAGCCGAGCGCGGCGGGCGAGCCGGTCTCGAAGGGCAGGCAGACGGCGAACTTGCGGTAGTCGCTGACGCCCAGCAGCGGCAGCGCGGCGGCGACCAGCGAGAAGGCCCAGCCGGCGCCCATCACGGCGGCCGCGTGCCGCAGCGACAGCCGTTTGTTCAGGTGCATGGCGTGCGTGATGGCGTAGTTGCGCTCCAGCGTGATGACGGCCAGCGTGTACACCGACAGCTCGGAGGACAGCACGCCCAGGAAGCCCGCCAGCCGGCAGCCCGCCGACATCTGCCACGAGATGGCGTGCGCGCGGAACTCGCCCAGCGTGCCCGCGTCCACCACCGCCAGGAACCCTGCGGATTCACTCGGTTAGCATCGGCGCGTGTCGGCGTGTCGGCGTGTCGGCGCGCAGCTCACCTAGGTAAATGCCCATGAAGAAGTCGGCGGCGGCCAGGTTGGTGACGAGAAAGCGCGGCACGTCGATGCGGCTGCGGCTGAACACGAGCACGAAGACGACGGTGCCGTTGCCCAGCAGCGCCAGCAGGAACACCGCCCACACGCCGCAGCGCAGCGTCCACCAGTCGAACAGGTCCACGCACGGCAGGAACGGCCCTGCCACAAGGACACGGCGCGGTCAGTACGCAGCGGGTCGGCGTGTGCGGCGTCGCCGGCGCGCGGAGAGACCTACCGGGCAGCGGCAAGCAGCGCACGGCGGCGCGCGGCGCGGCTCGCAGCTCGCCCCAGCCCGCCTCGTGCGCGCCCCAGCCGGTCGCGTTCACTGCAACACGACACTCGCATGACCTTCCCTTCCTTGCGCACTTCGCCTACTGCCATAGTGAACGAAATGTTTACTGACGGTAGTGCGGCCAGATGTCTGTGGCGTTGCCCCAGGCGGCGGCGTCCACGCGCTGCGCCGGCACCAGCACCAGATCGCTGAACCCGCCGCCGCCCTCCTCCTCCTCCTCCCCCTCCTCGCCGCTCTCCATCCCCCGCCCCGCGGTCTCCGCCCCCGCCCCCGGCCCCGCCGGCGGCATGAACTCGCAGCAGTGGTACGCGTACGACAGCACTAACGTCTGAACAAAACGGCAATGTCTTCTCTTGGATTGTGGTCATACAAAGATATGAGGCAAGTGTGACCTCACCCGGCACATGGAGGCTCGCACGCTGCGGACGTTTTCATCAAATCATTGTCTTTTCAGCGATTTAGAAATAAGATGTTAACAATAATACAATAACTCTGGATATTTATACTTTCTTTGCTATTAAATACACATAAAGAGATTAACGACTACTTTGGATCTGTTAGTCGGCAGTACCTGTATCCTGGGGAAGAGTTCCGGGGGGTGGAAGCGGCGCAGGTTGGGGTTGTTGTGAGCCTTGAGATGCAGCAGCCGGCGCAAACCGCCCGCCGGGAGCCACGGGAACACGTTGTTGCCCACATTGCTGCAACATGCACATTTGTCACGTCACCGTCACCTCGCGACCACTGTCCACCATCTTATCGTATCTTTAAATACAAAGAACATAGCAAAAATTAAATATATAGCAGATGCGGTCTTCGCACAAAAACTGAGCAGTTGTAAAACTCGCAACAGATCACGGCCGGCGCCCCCCGCACACGTCGCACCCACCACACCCGCCGCACCCACCGCACCCGCCGCACCCACCGCACCCACCAGACGCGCCGGATAAAGTGGACGTTTTTTATTTAAGTCAGTAATAAAGCAGTTTATTCAGTTGGAACTCACAGATCCTCCAGACCGTCGAGCGGCGTAAACGCTTCGGAGTCGATGTACTCGATCTGGTTGCCCTCCACGTCCCTGCAGCGCCACGTCATGTCACGTCACGTCACGTCATATCACGTCACGTCACGTCACAGGTAACATTTACCATTGTAAGAAAGATTCGAACAGATAACATGAGTAAAATCATTTGTTCTGGCGTAGCTTAGGTCACGACTAGAAGAATTGTCACCTGATACTTATACAGTTGTACTAAAAGTGCAAAAACTTTTCATTGGATATTTATAAAAACTAACAGGTACTAACTGATTATACCTATCCTATATTATCTATGCTAATGCATATATACTCGTGAAAAGGGGATCTTCTCGTCAGTTCGCCAAATTACATTACATATATGTGTGTGTGTGTGTGCGTGTGTGTGTGTGCGTGTGTGTGTGTGCGTGTGTGTGGTTGCAAGTGCTGGTGCAGGTGCAGGTGCAGGTGGTACCGACAGCAGCTGCAGACGCGGCGTGTGCACGAAGGCGTCAGCGGGCAGACTGCGCAGCCGGTTGCGCGCCAGCTGCAGGTCCAGCAGACGGCGCAGACCGCGCAGCGCGCCGCCTCCCAGCGCGCGCACGCTGTTGTCCGACAGCGACCTGCGCACGTGTGTGTCACTCACTACACAGTAGCTCATTTAATGGCACAAAACTGTGCTCAGCTCTCTATCCGCTCAGCTCATTTTCTTTGCATTGATGCAGTTTAATGTTTGACGGTGTGGCGTGAGGTGCGTTGGTGAGATGGTGGTAGGTGCAGGATGTGGTGAGATGGTGCACTCACAGTACGCGCAGCTCCCCACACTCGCGCAAGTCGGGCACGCTGTCCAGTAGGTTACCGCGCAGCTCCCTGAACACAAAATTACAACGCATTCAAATCACTCCTCTTCATCATGTATTAAACATTTTTATCAAAAAGTTAACGCTACTTCACTTAACGATAAGCGTTTCCTTCGTTTCCCTCCCATTGCTTTCTACTTTCGTCTTCCTGCTTGCTGATGCCATTTATAAGAAATGACAACATTATATCCACAGTATATAACAGTAATATCCACAAGTCTTGTGAAACATCTCCAAACACCTGCGTGAAAATATAACCGTTTAGCCGCTTATAATTTAAAACTGGAACGTTCAGTGCGTTAATATAATATTTACAATTTATTAGATGAATGCGTTAGTTTATTTATATCGCGACGAGTGCATGCGGTTGCAGCGAGCGGCGGATGCGCGCTCCACATACCGCCCGCCCCCTCTGCGCTTCCCGTGCTCGAGCGATACTCGGCTCGGCATAGCTCCGCTCGACCTCGGCGATGCGTTTCTTATTTAGCTTGGACGACGTGCACCTCCCGGCGTGTGTATGGACAGTGAGCAATGGGCAAGAGCAGTGGACAGTGGACGGAACGACCGACTAACAGTGCGCGCAGCTGCGGCGCGTGGCGGCACAGGGCGCGCGGTAGTGAGGCGAGACGCGCGCGGTCGGCGCGCAGCGTGCGCAGTCGCGCCGCGCCCGCCAGCGCCGGCAGCTCGCGCAGCCCGCGTGCGTCCGACAACTCCCTGCGCCCACATACACACACATACATATCTTCTGCTGCCTCACTTATTTACAAGCAAAGCTATAACAATAACATTGCTCTTTACTATATATAGTTATTTTTTTTAATTTGTTAAGGTCACAATCGCAGATATTAAAAACAGTAATATTTTAAGAAGTTGGAGTCTCATTATAATTTTTAAACCGATATGAAAACGTTACGTAACAAGCAAGAAGTCCGACATCAAAACAAAATCTTCTAAAATTAAATATGTCTGTATATTATTGTAAGTTTCTCTTAGTTTTTGGGTTTTTATTTAATCACTGGTCAAACAACGGTTATGACAAATTAAATAGAGAGTTTCAGTTGACTTCAGATCTCATTGTACAATATTAATTAACTATGTTAAATAGGATCCTACTTCCAGCTATGACTAAATAATCGCCAATTCCGAGTGTAGGTAGGCCTAGTTGCTGACGACAACTAGAGAGGTAAAGTTGCAACAGTGTGAGGTGGGCGCGAGACTGGAAGCCGCGGGGCGCGGTGCGGGTTCTCTGCGGCCGCAGTATTTTTAGGCGATGTTAATAGAAATATCACTGAAATGTTTTAATAACCGAAAGGTCTTTGATGTATAAACGCGTAGCCGGAGCTTCGTCTGCAACAAGGACGTCAGCGCCCGCGCCTCTATGATTATAAATACGGTGGCATGGCCGTCTCCTGCCATCTGCCTACCGATTGAAGCGCATCTCTGACCCTCTCAACAGCTAACTATGATACTTTTTGCGATGACAGCTCGTTGATAGTATAAGTAGGCTGTAACTTACTGTGTAAACTTACCGATCTTGTCCTGCTTCATTACAATAATTATTATTCGATTCGTGGTTTAGGAACTCACAGAGGACAAAGTGTACGTCAATTTTTCTGCTGGCTATAATCTCTTCATACCGAATACATTAAAAATAATATAATACATGTGTATCTCCTTGCTCCATACAAACTTTCTCCACCACTATTGACCTTTAGGGAATGAATTTTGTAATACCTTTAAAGTTGTTGCCTTCAAATTTCACTGGCCATTTGTTTTAGCTGCGCATTGATATATGAATGATGATCAGTAAATCGATGAGTTTAGGTGCGTGTGGAGTACTAACAGCGTGTGCAGGCGCGGCAGGTGGTCGAGCGCGCGCGCCGCAAGCGCGGTCAGCGGGTTGGCACGCAGGTCGAGCCGCGCCAGGCGCGCGCACGCTCGCAGACCTGCGCTCACGCGCTCTACACGGTTGCGCGCCACCGACCTGCACCACATAACTACATTTACCATCTCTCCTCAAACGCTGCTTTATTACATACAAAAGATATGCCACGGCCAACTCGAAACGAAGTCGACGTTTGCACGAGCATTAGTGCTACCTCTCGGTTATTACAGAAAGACGGCTAGATGCAATTCAATGTAGCCGTTTTTCAATCTAGCGGTAGAGATAAAGATGTATAAAAAAGATGGTTTGCATGTACACTGACAGGTCCTCGAGCAGCGGCAGGCGGTACACGGCGGCCGGCAGCTCCGTCAGCAGGTTGTCTTCCAGCCGCCTGCGGACATGGCTCATGGTTACTCGCGTCCCCGCCTCGCGCTACTAAAGTCATATCAACGTATACAATAGTGGTATAGCCCGCAGAAGCATTACTTGCTGAAAGTATAGCCTCTTCGATGCAATACCTTGACCAGATAACATTCATGAAGCGGAAGTGATTCCGCGTTTCGTTTAATGAGTGTGCGTGGCAAATTCTAGTCCACTTCCCCCTTCCCTTACTCTTATAGGGAAAGGATGGGAAGTGGTACCGGACACGACGGGTGGGGGGGGGGCATCATATGGGAAGGGGAAATAGGAGGTTTAGATTATTATTCCGCGTGCCTACTGGAAAGGATTGAAGTATGTTGCCAGCCTCAGTTTTTCAGTTTGCAACCTGGCAGCGACATTGGCGCGTTGATGACCAAATTATATTCAGGTTATGCCAGAAGTTCAACAAAAGCGTTGTATAGGCCGCGCGGACCCTCAACTGTAATGTGAGTGCGCTTTCTAAATATACAGTGTATGAATTCTAATATTATACATTATTGCACACTTTGTAAACTGATCGAGAGGGGGGGGGGGATACAGTAGATAAAACCTTTCTTTAAATATTATAAGATGCAACGTCAACGTCAACGTTAATGTCGATGCAAACCGGATCGAGTTCGAGTCTGAGGTATTATCCGATGCGATGCAGACTCCGCTCGTCATCATTGCGATGCATTACATCATTCATTGTTTTCCCTTTCGGTTGCGCCACTCGCGGCGCGGCGGTCCCTCTCGCCTGCACTCAGCACACGCGGCATTCGCACGTTGCGTGTCTTGTTTTAAGACATCAGAAATAATTTACATATTAATAATCTTTCCTATACTTTAAGTTACCGAACGATAACGATGATTATGAAATGAATAGTTTGTTTACGTTTGTTTAAGTTCAAACGCCACTCGGATTATTTCGTTGATATTATGAGCAAGGAGTAGAAGTGTGTCAGCCGCAGACAATGTGTGCGACGCAGGAAAGAGGGGGAGGTGAAAGGGTCCGCTGATTGCGCTCACCTGATATCACATCAACACAATAGTTTACTTGAGGTAACTAAGCCCAGGATCTACTAATGTGTTTTACAATAGTATTTCTATTTTATATTATTCAAATACTAATGTAAAAAAAAACGCGGGTTTCTGCTAGATGTCATAACTCATGTATACGTACAAATTATGAGCCATCGAACCGAAGACGTTCGCATCTTTTAGCGGTTATCAAAATATAAATATTGGAAGTGAGCCAATTCATTTGCATCGTGGGGTCGGCTCGCATGTCTGTTTATTCACCTCTGCTCCATTGTCCTAGGGGGCTAGGAGTAGTAGATAGCAGCGGCTGGATGCTGAGGCGATACGATACGGCCGATGCACACACAAAACGCGACGCTGTTCATGGCGATAGCGCAGACAACAAGTACTTACATACGTCACATACCATTCACCCATTGCTCCCAGCACCCCGCCATTAAAATCATGCTTTTTTGCATTTATTAAATGTAAAATCAAATCGATATGGTAAATTCTGCTTGTGACAATGAAGGCGCGTTAAATGCTCGTTTTGTAATCACCGCGCTCCTCGTGCCCCCCAAACCGACGTGACGCCGTGCCGCGCCGGGTCGGAGCCGTGCGGGTGCGGGTCCAGGCTGTAATTTATCACTCTCGTTTGTGTATGAATCACATTTCTTTAAATAAATGCACATTTTCTTATTAAAAAAGGCAACACTTGTGCATAAAATATACTTAATTCATGTAGATTTGTTTGTGTATGTCGTTAATGAAACTGAGGGGAAAGGAGGATGATACTGAATAGTGTAGTGTGCGGTGTACGGTGTGCACTCACAGCACGCGCAGCGCCGGCGTGTTGATGAAGGCGCGCTCGTCTATGTACGCGATGCGGTTGCGCCGCAGCACTCTGCAACACAGAGAGAGTCTCGTTAGCTTAGCTTAGTCAGTGCTAGAAGGTAGGATGTAGTCTAAATCAGTGGCGCTTGCTCTTCTATTGTTACATTTTCCAGCTATGTATCACGACGTGAAATACACCTTATTAAATTGCTAAAGGCGAAAGGGAATGGTGTAGTAGGTATTCCAAAAGGTAGACAACTTGTGTGTCATTTACGGAGTGACGTCATGACACGATGCACGCAACCCACGAACCCGTACGATCATCCGAGGAAAAGCCGCAGCTGACATCGATCTCATGGCGCTGACGTCACGCCGATGTGACGCTGCACACCTACATACTGTCTATATAATATTATATGTTTCTATATATTATCTAAATGTATATAAATAATATGTAAAATGTTATGAAATACACACAGTTTGCCACCATGATACTATCGGGGCACAGCGATTGTATTCGCACATTGGTGTTTCCGCCGGAGAGGCGGGCGATGCCAGGGCGAGGGGTGGGTAGGGGAGGGGGGCATTTTCAATGCGGAGGATCTCAACTATTTACGTATGTATGTCTTGCTATCTATTTCACATATTAATGCTATACTTAGAAAACTTTCTCTCAGTTTCTTACAGCGACTATTAAACGAATGAGCGTGGCAGTTAATCTTGTTAATACTAACTACTCGGCGATTAATCCTCGCGGTCTGCACGACGACAGCGGCAGCGGCAATAAACGCGCGGCCCCACGCCACCGCCAGCTCAGACTCCCGCCCCGCCCCGCTCCACCCCGCGCTCACAACACCCCACAACCGCTACTCGAGCTCGAGTCATAAGCTCCTCTAAGCTCGCCATTCTCCCCAGTCTCCAGTAGTGATCGTGGAACATGTACCAATTCACGTATTTATGTGATGTGATAGCGTGCTGTATTTTAAAAGTGCACTCGTGAATTGCGATTGTGGATAAAATTTCTGCACTGAAAATGATCATCGCACGGTCATGTGAATGGAGCCTTAAACTTCTGCGGTACCTACGTCTAACACAACTAACAAGCCGGCAGATAAGGCAGTTCGACGGCCGCCTGCCCGCCTGCTCGCCGCGGCTCCCGAGCCACTCACCTTGGACAGCGGCGCGGCGGCGGCGGGGCGGCGGCGTTCGAATGCGCGTGCGCCTGCTCACTACTACGTGCATGCGTGTCTTCACATGTGTGTGTGCAAGCTGCATTTGACCTTGCGACCCGGGCGGAGCGTCGTACCCGTGTCGTCCTCGTCGCGCCTACAACGCTATTCACCCGCGTCGCTTTCACCAGGACTGACTGAAGCCGGCGTATTTATCTCATAGTTCTCGACAATCGTCGTCGAGGAATATTTGTCATTTTGATGGTCTTGATGATATTATTGTAATTATATTATGTATACTATTTCATTAAATAGTGCGGTTTTCCTTCAAAAAATAGGATAAAAAACCAGAACACGCGCTGTAAATTAATTTAAGTAAAAGTAGGGTGTGTGGCATAATTCAAAGAGGGCTAAGAAAATGTTATCCAATAAAGGCAAAAGACGCGGCTGGTCCGAGCGGCGGCGCTCGGTACGCGGCGCACGTCGCCTCTACATACATTCTATTGGCATTATTGACATTCTACAAGATAAAGCTGACAAACGGATCATGTGATTTGAACTTAAACCAAAACATATAGTTAGTCCCTGTTTAGTTTTAAACATTTGTTTAAAATGTTTTATCGCCGCTGATTGTTACGATGAACGTCGACGTGGTTGCATGCTGCACCATAAATATGTATCTCTCACCACACTGCTTTCTATATATTATAAGTATTTCATTATTTTATTGCCCACGATCGCATTTCACGAGCCTACTTATAATAATGTTTTAAATTCAATAGCCATATTGTCAAAAATCCGCGCCACCAGTCGCCAGGGTCACATTCATGTAAAATTATTTGGAACACCGTCCGACTGGTTCTTTCTATTGCACGTATCGTTCTAAAATTCCATTTATTATTATTCAACATGTATGTCTTTGTCATGCACTCTAACACATATACATAAATACATGATATGTAGTTGTGAGACTCACAGCGTGTGCAGCGCGGCCAGCGGCGGCAGCGCGGCGGCCGGCAGCGCGGCCAGCAGGTTGCCGCCCAGGTCCCTGCAACACGCACATATCTCAACTCACCAAACACCTATTGTCATCTCTCTCATTCTTAATCATAACAAAAGAGTCAACCGTATATTTTTGAACACGTGTTTTGGGTGATTAATCTTACGAATGCATAGCAATCGTAAGATTTATGTTACAATGTTTCCGTCCTATCCTAATAAATTAATTAAAATTAAAGCACTTCTAAAGGTTATGTTAATAACATTTTGCAACGGTGTCAAAGGGAACCTTGATATTTAGCGAGCGAGTTTTAAGTGCGGGCCCCGCGCATTGCTCGTACTCGTATGTTATATGTATTAGAAAGTGTCACGTCACGTCACGTCAAGTCACGTAACGTCGCCGTGTCGTGTGTCGTATGTATTAAGTGGGTCACGCTCGGCTCGGTGCGCGGCCGCAGGCGACACGCATGCGGTTAGTGGCTGTTACTTGTTATAACTCGCAAAGCTGAATTTACACATTGATTAGTACGGGTGCAGGTTATTGATGTGACTGCTCAATGATTGCGACAAAACCTGTCTGTACCCCAATTGATTAGTGAGAAAAGAAGTTTGTTCTGCTTGTGTTGCGAGTACTCATTGTAACGTAACTTGCCGCCGTTATATCACCCCAATCCCCGTGCGCCCCTGCACCCCCTTTCTGACCCCTCACAGGCAGATCGCACGCAAAATGGTCATATTATTTGTTTATTTTCCGTTGCCTAGCAATTGAATTTTAAGTAAGCACATCACCAGCAGCCAAAAACAATTAGACAGTCCTTACATCGCATTGCATTGATATCACATAGGTAATTTACCACAAAACTCAATGGTTATGGAGCGGTTGCTAGGAACTTGCACTCGTATTCATCAATGTCTAAATTGGCCCTAAATGTTAATGCAAGAACATTGTCGTTCTGTCTGATACTACATACTAATTCCGTCCTACTTCGGATAACAATAAGTCAATGGGCATCTGATAACAATGCGTGCTACCGCTCGCACAGTTCCAATGCGGTTGTGTTTCACGTGTGGCGACACTCACAGCGCCTGCAGGCGTGGCGTGCCGAGTAGCGCGGCGGGCGGTGAGCGCAGGCGATTGCCGGGCGCGCGCAGCACGCGCAACCCGCGCGCACCGTTCAGCTCTTCCTCGGAGAGCGTCTCCAGCTCATTGTCCGCCACCGACCTGCGCAAAGGCACACCGTACCGACACCGCGCTACACCGTGATACTCTACGCTCTGCACACAAACAACTCAGTGCCATAATGTCTCAACATATTAATATTCAAACTATCATAATACTAACCTACTACAGATACAGATATATATTAACATTTAGAATTAAGTATCTAACTATTTAGGATCTGGCAAGCGACTTAGACTAATTTCCATTTGTCATAGAGTTTAACATAAATTATACATAGGTACATACAATGAACAAAGCTCTTTAACACAATAATATTTTAGTGAAGGATCTGTCCGAGGAGGAAATTAATGAATTAGGTACTTCTGTTTAGTTTAAAAAAATGATTTGTATTTCACTATGTAGAGAACACAACATAACTTTGATGTGTCCGGCGGCATGCGGCATGCGGCAGCTTCACAAAGTATATCATATTCATAGGAATACTATTTATTTTTGATTTATCTTACATTTCATGTTGTCCGTTTTTACACCAAAATTTGTCGGCTGGTGTAAGCTATCACCCAAGTATTAACATCAATGTTTTCAATGTTAGCTTCGGACGGCCGAGCTGAGCGTCACTCCCCGTAGGCGCGGGGTGGCGCAGGTTGCGGGATAGGAGGAGGGGGGGGGGCTCGCTCGAGCGTCTTTGTAAACATCAGTCACTATAATAGCTGCGGTATAAATACATATCATCTGAGCGGCGCCGGCGGTCGTTGACCCGCATAGGCGCTGCCGCTGCCGCCGCCTCTGCCGCGCCAGTTCTGAAGCTCCCGGTTACTCCATCATCACCTAATATTTTGGCGCCGGCTGTTGTTACAGTATAGGTGATATATACTCTCCGGTCCGTGAGGCCATAACGCTGCATTCCAATGGTCGAGGCTAATCACGCGGAAGCTTTCATAGATAAAAATTAATTTTTTGTTACACTGTTACTGTACACAGCGATAGTCCCTTGGCTTATGATTCCCATTTACATCTCATTAAGCGTACGATGGCTTTAAAGTGGCAAAAAAAAAGTTGTTTATTATGGACCCGCGGAGCAGAGCACGGTGCTCCTCCCGGCTCCTCCCTCGCCAGCGGTCAACATTAACGTCACCACGACGCCGTCGGGTTGAATGTGACGCATCCCCTGGGACCGCCCCAGTCGCAGGGGGGAGCGCGGGCCTGGGGTCGGAGAGGTGATATCGGCCCCTGCCGGACATTATGAATATATGACGTCGCCTCTGCCTCTTTAAACTACCATCTGCCTATCGTGTTAACTGTTTTGAGTCGTTTAACATAATATAATGTATTATAACACAACATTGTATTTGAATTATTTTATAATTGAATACTTCATTTAATTTAATGCGGTGGCCTCTCGCAGCATAAGCCGGCGTACGTATTTTATTGTGAGCTATCGTGCGTACGAGGCCGGAAGCCGACGGGCCCTGCCAATGTGACCGGTGCGCAAGGTCGCCCCGGACTTAGGGAACCGGTTCCACCTTCATTATCATAATTATTTAATAACAAACAGTACAGAAGTAGTTCGCACCTTCCACCAAATATTATTATTCATACATTTGACAAACTACTACAAATTGCAATAATATCAGCATTCATACCGAGCCCGGTCGACACGCTACATATAGTTATATTATACTAGCTCTGGCCGCGACTTCGTCCGCCTGAAATACTGTCTTTGGGTAGCATTTTTATTATTTAGGTTACTTATTTTACTCTATATGTTGTCACTAAATTAGACCCACTTCCGGTACACCGACTTTTCTGAAAATTGGAACGCAACATCTCGATAACAATGCAATTTTTATATTCGATGTCAAAGTAAATCCAAGTGGCCGCCGCTACAAGATTACGTCGCCTCAGACGTCGATAGAATATAATATGACTGATAAAATAACGTGGTAAAGACCAATTCAATACGTTATCCAAGGATTTATTATATTTTAACGCTCTTTCGAGGCGCGTGCGAACGAGGGCTTACTTAATAGAGCTAAAGCTGAATAATAACAATGATAGTTTAATATCGCGCCGCAACCGACAGATGAAATAATGGAGAACGAGTGAAACCTCGTCGAGCGAAACCGGCTAATGTTTGATAAAGCTTGGTACACAAGCTATTGCCATCATAGAGTACAGGGAGCAGAGCGTAGTGCGGCGAACAGCGGCGTACTCACAGCAGCAGCAAGGCGGGCCAGGCGGCGCGCGGCAGCCGGAGCAGCGCGCACCTGTCCAACCACAGCCGCGCCAGCGCGCGCCCGTTCAGCGCGCCCGCCGCCACCCCCTGCTCCAGCCGGTTGGCAGACAGGTTCCTGCGCACCAGACCCCACCGCCTCACCACCTCGCACCAACTCATCAACATCATTTCATCATAAACTACTCGATTAAAAAGTTTATATGATGCTAAATTGCTAACATGTATTGGACATATTCATACACAACCATACGACAATATATGTGCATTTTAAAGCGCACGTGCCTTGTACTACACTTACGTGAGGGGTATATGTAACGTGACAAGACGTCCCGTTTTATAGTTCTGAGTCCCGGTGTCCTCGACATGAATGCCGCTAAATTGTCCCGGTGTTTTAAACAGCGCGAAAATTTACCAAGTACCAAGTGTTTTAAACTTGTTAAAAATCATCACCAGTTATAATTCATAGGTACTCATTTTACAGCACATCCTCTGATACTAAAACTTTCGGCTATATGAATTTCTTAATTTCTTACTCAAGTTTACTGATTTTATTTGAGGAAAGTTTCATTTTTTATAAAAAAAGCAATGTCCTGTTTTGAGTCAAAAAATAAATGGTCACGTTAGGTATATGCCATTGTTTATATAATGCGGTCCTCTGTTATGGTTTGCTCCAACACATTATTCCTCGTTCGATATAGGTTACATCAAATGTACAACTAAACAAAGGGTACATTACTTATAACTTCAAAAGCAAAGTCGTATGGGTTCTTCTGGGTAAAGATCTGGGTAAATACTACTTCAGATCGTTTCTATTGAAACTTATTAATTCGAAGGGAAGAAAGTTGTTGTGTTCGCGGATTGTTGTCGACGGGGATTATCATACTGTAAGTTTATATTTAAATGTTTAAAATATTTACATATTTTATTCACGGGATTCCTATCAAGTCAAGCCCAACTGTAAAAACAGGTGATGATGTATGTAATGCTCTCCTTTTATGTTAACACATGTAAATGACTTCGATGTCTGATTTCCCTATAACTGGAAATCCATAATTAAACAATAGAGAATTTTGGGCACACCGTGGCTGGCGGGCGCAGACGACGCCGCGTGCATCGCTAATGCCGCCGCCGCCGCCGTCGAGTCGGTGCTGAATACATGACTTCACTACATTAGTTGTGACAGAAAGCGAGAACATTTCTCAATCCATTCGTCTCGAGACTGACAATGATGTGTCGCGTGAAGTTATGCACGCACCGCTCATCGACTGGTCGTCCTGGTGATTCGAAAGAGGCAAGTGGCCTTTGCGGTCATCCATTCAGTGCCAAGCTAACATGAAAAGAAATGCGACATCAATTAACCGCACTTCTTGGCAAAGGTCTCTTTCTAGATTAGCATAGATCAGTATACGCCTTAGAGCCGCCTCGCCTCACACAGCAACTTCGAGTTACCACTCGTGCAACATTGTTGCCGCTACTATAAATAATGAAAAAAAATTCCAACCACGAAACAGGTCCAAATTTTAATTGATTCAAAAAGGTGGTGTTATGGTTTCTACCTCAAAGGCAAATTATTATTTTTTTACTTAAATAATTATTCTCATTTAGATTTCGGCTGTATAACATTGACATACATAACGGACAAGGTTGAAATTAAAGTCTTTGTAAGGTTTAGCTTCCGCGCCGAGGACGGCCGTCGAGCCGTCGTCGTCGCACCGTCATCATTGTGTAAAACATAATTTTTAATAAGTTTTTGGTTAGCGCTACTGTTAAGTATATTAATGTTAATAAATGTATGAGAGTAAAGCGAAGCGAGTTAGTGGCGGGGGCAGCGGGGGCACCGGGGGCACCTGTGTCTCACGGGGGCACCTGGGGCTGCGGGGGCACTCACAGATCGCGCAGAGCGGCGGCGGGCTGCAGCGCTTCCGGGGGCAGCGTAGTGATGTTGTTGTCGGACACGTCCCTGCAACAAAGATGGCGGTTACTTTACTGGCATTACACGACGCACAAGCCGATATCGATGGGAACATAGTATGCGCGGGCTCAATGTTCAAGCACGACATAGGCGGGGGCAGTGCCGCCCGCTCGTTTATACATTTTCTGGTATTTCTAAAGTTCATGAAATACTCAGTCCAAACTGTAAGCATCGTCAATCTCATCAAGATTATTGCTTCAGTTTAGAATCGTTCTAATTTTGTTTTAACATGTTAGAAAGTATTCGAAAGGTCAGCCGAAAACTTGGAGACCATCCGCGAACGGCCGATAGCTAGTGAGTGATAGGCAGCATGTTGTAGACACGAAGCATCGCAAAAAACACGCACAAGATCTGATAGACATGGAATGAATAAGATGTATACGTTATACACAAGCTGCTTATATTATCTTTTTTTTTATTTGAAAGTGTTTTATTAATTACCACGTAGGTCGACTAAAGAAAAAATTTCATTAAGATCCGTTGAGTCGTTCAGCAGATACCTTCTAACAAACATCCATCTATACATCCAAACATTTGCATTTATAACAGTAGTAAGATATAAAAGTTCGCAGTCGTCTGAAGGCGATCGCGCAAACGCCTAACGGCCAATGTGTTCACAAGCTCGCCGCGACTACCGCGCTCGCGTGTCCCACGTGAAACAAGCAGTTTGATGATGGCTTACTAGACTAGGTGTTAGTAGTTCAGGCGTAACGAAAGGAGGAATGTGCATCGGTATAGCAGTCAGGCAACGAATCGCCCCTTGAATACCAAAACAAAAGAAATTAAAAACTTTAGATAGTAGCTTAATACTTGGAGGTGCTTAGGAGGTATGTTTTATTTGTAAACCTAATATTGTATTGTGACTTGTTGAAGTACAAATGTTTGTGACAAGCGCCGCCGTGCTCTTTTTTTTTGCTGAGTGGCGGGGCGAGTGGCGCGGTGCGCGGCGAGCGGGGAGCAGGGAGCGGGGAAG